TATTCATGACATTTCGAGAGCTATTGTAACTATTTACATAACTCCACATCTGTATTGCCATATTATTGACGTTTCTCCGGCCTTCATCAGGATCTGTCTATGTTTCTGAGAGCTATTGTAACTATTTACACTATTTACATTGTTCGAACTCTTATTCACATCTGTATTGGCATATTATTGACGTTTCGGCTATTATACACTCCGGCCTTCTTCACGGTCTGTCTCTGTTTCTGAGATGAGATATTGTAACTATTTACACTATTTACATTGTTCGGACTGTTGTCCTCATATTTATTGACATATTCACAACGTTTCGGCGTTATAAGCTCCAGCCTTCTTCATGATCTATGTTTCTGGTATTGTAACTATTTACACTATTTACGTTGCTCGGACTGTTATCCTCATCTTTATTGCCATTTTCGCGACGTTTCGGCTCTTGCACGCTCCGGCGTTCATCAGTATCTGTCTATATTTCTGCGATGAGGTATTACAATTATTTACACTATTTAAATGCTTCTGGCTGTGGTCCTCATTTTTACTGTTATATTCACGAAGTTTTGATCCTTGTACGCTCCGGCCTTCTTCAGGTGATTGGAATTTCGAACTGAACAGTTTTCATCCATCAGGTTATATTGTTCTAGTTCCACTTTCCATGCCACTTTTGGATGTCTGAGTATCAGTTATCTTCCTTTAATTTAACTCTCCACGTTTTTGTTTTCCACATGCTGCACTGATAGTTGACTTTATTCATTTGGGGCTTTAACTCTCTTATATAAAGGGAATTTAGAGTTCTAAGTTTTTGCTTATTATTATTTTGGTGTAATATAAATGTATTTTTCAACCAGTAATGGTGAGACTGAAAGTACCTGGGAAAATAAAAATTATATGAAAGAAAATTTTGGTATTTTCTTTAACCAGTTCTCTACAGCTACCAAGAAAATGATTCGTGGACTCGAAAGGATTAAAACAAAAATAAACAGACTCAATTATTTAACCAAACCAGTTTGAATGAAAATGTGCTGCCTACACACACACGCACACACACATATATATATATATATACATATATGTTTGTATATATATATGTTTACACACACACACACACACACACACACACACATATATATATATATATATATATGTGTGTGTGTGTGTGTGTCAGTGACAATATATATACTCCCGATATCCGGTTGAGCTCTCTTATGAAAAGGGTAATTTTAAGAACAATGGCTCATACTGCTATTAGCGCATTGCTCTTCGACTGAATTGAGCTCTCTGGGCCACTGTTGTATTTCGTATAGAGAACGTTAAAATTTCCTTTTCTCTCTGCCAGGCGACGATAGTCTAGGGGTAGAATTTCTGAATGATGCCATATCTGTAGGATTTCGTTCCCGGAATGAAGCAATCGGACGTCTAGCCACACTGAAGATCTGTGATACAACGACACAGTCTGTCTGTGGATGACAATATATATATATATATATATAGTTTTTAGATATATAGGTTTTACTAATTAACCCATAGATTGGAGGAGAGAAAGTGGATTCATACATTTCCTAAGGGTATTTGCGCATAATTGAATATAATGAACACAACGGTAATTGAATCTCAGCTCTACGTTTAACAATTCCGAGCCATAAGCCCCCCCCCCACCAACAGTACATTCAAGCTTACAGCACCTGGTATTCCCAAGCGGTCACCCATCTAGACGCTGACCAGGCTTGTCATTGGCTTGATGTAACCGGAAGTTCTATTCTAGTAGTTTCTTCTTTCATTTTGATCCACAATAATTTAAATATAACGTCAATCGTTATCTTTTGACCTGGTTATTTTATTATTCTAAATAGCATTTCCTTTTCTTTTCTCATACTGGTTAACATTCAATAGCATCTTGTGTCTTAGTGGCATTATTTCCTTGATTGGAACGAAGAGATTAAAGAAAAAGTAATCTTGAAAATGTAAAAACAATTTTCGGAGAAAATACTGGCTAAAATAAATTTGCTGTGTCTATTCATGACACAGGCGGCAATAACTCTCCACAATGTCCTGTCTTTTTTCTGTTTCTCCCAATATGTTTTTTGTTAACTATTTACACAAGTTCCTTGGTTAGTTTTGTTGTTGCTCTACTCTGTCTCTCGAGGCTTTGTGAGTGCGAAATTCTCTCAAATATTTCGTTATTATGTGTCTTAGAAATTCCAACTCTTGTAATTAATAATTTCAGACTATTATTTTTTAGTGGCAGTGTATTTTGACTCAGACCTTCCGAGGCTGACCTTTAAGGTCAGATGGTAGACAAAATAGGGAAGTCGATTTTGATTGGTTGAGATGGACGTGGGAATGGGTTATAGATTAAGGTTTTTCAGAAGTTGATGTTTCGATGTCAAGTTAGCTAGTCAGGTAGGGTCTTTCAAGAGTTGGTTGATATACGTCAAAGGAAATGGACCTGTGAGATTTTCGTGTTTGAAAGTGGCACCTAATAGTGGGTTTAGTAACCCCCACTTGATAGAATGTACGTCGGCGACAGTAATAAAATAAATGTTCTCTTTGTTGATGCTTTTCGTCTTTGAAATCATTTTGCGACACCGACCAATTTGCGGAAAAAATACTGACTAAAACCTGAAGGTCTTGTTATATACCGTGTCCATTCTTGACAAAGATAGCAGAAGCTCTTCACAACTTCCGGACATTTAGCTCTATCTGCCATAACCTTTGTGCCAACTATTTATACAAGCCAGTTAGGTAGATCCTTCCCTGCTTTTCTTTGTCTCTCTTGTCTTTAATAAGCCTGTGAGTGTGAAATTCCACCAACCCTCTCTCCTCATTATGTGCAATAAAATGCTTTTCATTTTTTCCATTTTTATAAAAACATCGGTATTTTGTTTTTCTGTTTCGCTTATATGGCCTTACTATAATTTTTTTCGATTTTGCTTTTTAGATGTTCTCTGTGTAACCATATTTTGTTTATCTTCATCATTCGTGACTTCTATTAGAAAAACAATACCGTTTTGCTTTTCAGATGTTCTCCGCGCAACCATATCCATTCTATTTGTCTTTTATATTCACTGTGTAGAATATGCACTTTGTATTTTCTCTGTTGCATTCTTCAGTGTCTTTTATTATGACACTATAGGGCACTGGTGGAATTTAAAGGGTTAACAAAAAAATGTGAGCTAGGAATATGAGAGGGGAGTAAGAGAGATTATTGAGAGACCGGCATGCTGAAGGAAATCGCTAAGATATAGTGATTTTCAAAGCGTAGCTCAGATGTGGCACAAGGCCGAAAGTAAGGGGCACCCAGTCGTAATTGATCTAGTGAGACAAGCTTACCAACCATTACATCATCTCGGTGCCCAAAAGTGATTTTACAAGCGTAAGTCAGATGTGGCAGAAGGCCGAAAGTATGGGGCACCCAGTGAGAATCGAACTCACTACTCAGTCGTAATTGATCTAGTAAGACAAGCTTACTAACCATTACATCACCTCGAGGTACCCAAATCGCTAAGATATATTCCGGGTTATTCGTTAATCATAGGAATTAAAAACAGAATTAAGAGAAGTTGAGTTATGGCCGCCAAAAAATAGAAATTACGATTATCAGGCCAAATTTAATAGTTGAAATATGAAGACGAAACTTAATCTGTTATCCGAAAAGGAAATTGAAATGAGTAACGGACCTGAAAGGGTTGTCTTCATGATAATCCGAGTGTTGTGGAAGCAGGATGGTTGATTGTGGTGCATTAGAACAAACCAGACTAAAGACTGGAAAATAATATTTGTTATGGAAAATCAATGATTTAAATAAGACCGCACGTTGCCGACACGGTTTTAAAAATCAGATTTGTCAAAAAGAC